AAATTTTTAATTTTTTTTTTAAGTAATATTTTTCGTTCCAGAAAATTTTATGAGTTTTTGATGTGAATATTTTTAAGGATTAAGATTTTTTATTCACAATTCTCAATTTTCCAGGAAATATTTTTTTTTTATTTATTTAGTGCTTTTTTTTTGGTCTGTTGCAACAGAATTTTATTTTGAAGTTTAAAATTGTTGAAAGATTCTTTTATGTAATTAAGTACCTAATATTTTTTCATTTTCTGATATTTTCTGATATTAAAATTAAATTAAAGTTTTAATTTCTTTGTAATTACATTTAGCAATTTTTGTAATTTTTTTCTTACAGAAACTTTTTGAAACTTCGTTTCCATAACTCCCAAATAATTTTAAACACACCATAGATATTTTAATTTTAGTATGATAATTTATTTGTTAATGTTTTTTGGAGTTTTTTTAAATTTTTCTGACAATATTTTCTTTACAGTGACGAAGATTTTTGATGAGTTTGATTTTCGCTCAAAAGTACTCTGATAATAAAACGTACTGGGGAAAAAATTATGCTTGATTATAAACTTTTTTTCTCTTTTTTTCTTAATTTTATTTGCTAAAATTTGTAGCAGTTAATTTTTTTGAGCTATTTTATCACTAACGAAACACAGTGCAAACACTATAGACATACACAACTACATAGAATTATACAATATATAATTTTGCTTTTATTTACTGCCTTCTGGTCATATACTCGTATGTACATACTAAATTTTATATATCTTCGTAAGCTCATTCAAGAAAAACTTAATTTTAATACACACATCTCGCTGTATGTAATTTTCTATGATTTTTGGTACATACCTACATACAAAACATACAAAAGTATGTACGAGTATACAAATTGAATACCTTAACTTAAAATTATTACATTATATATATGCAAAGCTTTCGTTTAAAAAGCTTTTCAAATTACCGCTATATACGTTTGTAGTAGAACCAATGAGAAAACCACTCAAAATAAAACATTACGTCGATTTTTTGAAATTTACATTTTTTGAAATTTAAATTTTTTGGAATTTAAAATTCACTCAAATTGCTTAGAATTATATGCACGAGTACATATCTATTATTTGTGCTGTCATAAATTTTCCACAACTCTTTAATATTTGGATATGAGTGAATATCATAGCAATTTCACTCAAAAAAACCTCAGCATTTGAGTAAAAAATCATCTGTTGGGATTATAGCCTAATTCTAATGCCTTTGTAATGGTTTATGCGCAGCAGCATTTTGTGAGAGATGATTTATTTTAAACACAAAAAATTTAGAACAACTCAACACTCAACCGACGTCAACGTCAACTGCAAACTCGTAGCATCAGCTGCCGGCAGCAGCTGCCCTTGCTAATGGAAATCTAAATCTAAATCTAAATGCATGAATATTGGGTTAGGTTAAGCAATTATTGCTTTCCTCTTAACCCAGAGACTTACTTTTTGTTTAGTTTGATGATGACATACACACATACATATGCATACACATACAAAAATAGAATAGACGCAGTCATTCATGAGATGCTCAGAATTTTGTTACACTTAACGCACCTCAGCGGAATCTACACACACACACACACACACGATCAGCGGTCGATCGATCATCTTTAGCACGGCATTTAGTTAGTTTTCAACAAAATTTAAATATATATACAATTATACAGATGTTTGTATGTTTGAGTGTTGCATTCTCACTTTCATTTGGCTTAGTGTCACTTTGTCGCCTCATCGCGCTGTTACCCTGTCGCCCTGTCATTTGGAGTGTCATGTCATTTTGTTTGTAAATTTTGCTTGAAAAAACTATAAATACTTTTATGTTTGTACTTTGTGTTGTTGTTGACATTTGTGTATTTAAATTATCTTCAACTATTCGACATTTTCTACAGTTCAAATAGAAAATTCCAACAAGTTGCGGGTCTCCTCGTTTTTCTGTCCAAGAATGTGTGTTTAATGACTCTCGCGCCTTAAGGTTGTAGCGGTGTTTTCATTTCAAATTTCCCAGAAATAGTTTATATTTTGAAATATGCTTGCTCAGTCAAACATCATATTTAAGTGTGGATAATGGACAACTGAATTATGTGTGAAACATGTTTTCGGTAATTAAATATCGTGTGCACACGTCTGAAGATGCAAGCTTTCTTGTTTCCGTCAATTCTACACGACAATTAGCGGCAGATTTACTAATCAGTTGAGGCGATTTATTTTTGGAGTTTACTATCTGCACCGGGAGGTGTCTGGAAATTCTTCTATATAGCAATCTTCTATCAAATAATCTTCAGCATTTTTAAATTCATACAACTTTTTGTGGAAACTGATTCCATCCATTTTTTTTTTGTGTTCAGATAAAGGTGTTTTTTATTAAAAAAAAAAAAATAATAAAAAAAACAAAAATAAATTATTCAAAATGACCATTTTTTCTCACCTTTTTCTCTTTTAACTTTCGAATATCATCTCTGAAAAATGAGTTCTGTAACCAAGTAAATACTCTGAAAATTTCAAGTCGATCAGACTGTTATTTTGGAAGTTACACGCATATCTCTAACGATGCGTCAAAGCATTTGAAAACGGTTTTGAAACTTTAACTTCATTTTTCTCAAAACTATGTGCTTTAAGACGGTGCCACAGATTTCCCTGGAACGGCTGAACCGATTTTTTTTGCACGGGCTTCTGAACTATATATCCTAGTACTCTATCGAAGCTTTTCTATTATCGATTAAAAGTTTTTTTAATGTGCAATTTAAGACCAAAAAAAGGAAGCCCCTATTTTCTCAAACAATTTTTATTGGCTTATTCCTTCGATTAATCAAAAGATTATTCATTGCTTTGACGAAATCCGCTCGATGTTTTTCATTTCGGATGATTCCCTTCAGAAATACAATGATCACCGCAAAATTCCTTTTTTGAGAGGGGTCTCTGGAAATCTGCTGTAGTAGCTTCCAAAACTGAAAAATGTTTGAAAAACCTCATTTTTTTTTGGGTCTAACTAGATGTAACCTCTTAATGGTTGCTCGTTTCTAAAAGGTTAACTCAACCTGCTACCATACATTCAAACACTCAGAGTGCCATTAAGTATTTCTACAATGCAATCATAGAACCTCAAAGATCATAATAAAAAATAGAGAGATCTTAAATAAACCATCGAAACGTTCGTGGCTTGGATCCATGGTCATAGAGAAATCCCAGGGAATTGCGTAGTTGATGAACTGCTTAGAAAGGGAACAATCCTAATCTCTTAACTAACCCCTAAACCAAAACTCTGCACAAGACGTGGGCATACTTTACTAAGACCAGCCTTCACCAAAGGGGCCAACAGCAGATGGCACAGAGCAATCACTGGTAAATGTGACAAGACAAAGGTGAACATTAATCGAGATCAACTGAGTAGAGACTTACTTCTTTTCAACCGTGCCCGCATAAGCATAACAGCCGCACACTGTTTCATCCGGACTCATGGTAGTAGTAGAAGGATGGGCTACTTCTCAAATGATTAATGATGCAGCTGCTGGGGCATAGATGAGGAGCAATCGGTGAAATGTTATCTCTGACACTGTTCAGCTCTCAGTGCGGTGCGTTATCGTTTTCTCGGAAATTGCTTCTTCGATTGCCTTGCAGATTTTGTCTTTCATCTCCAGTATATCACCGGGTAGATAGGGCATTTGGAAATGGGAAACTCTTTAACAGAACCAATACAGGTATCAGGTATGTGTCAGTAGGCTTCGATACGCTTGATCAGCGTTCCATAATCGAACAACCTTCTTAGCTAGGGAGAGGCTTCACATTACTTTACTTTTCTTTACTTTACTTTAAGTGTAAAATTATTAACCTAAGAATAACCTGATTTTGTAAGATCATGCTGGAAACGAGGCGATTTACAAATTGTTCATAAATATTTTTTTTTCTTAACCCAATCGATATTGATATGCCAGCAGCTCGAATTACGAATGCTACTCGCTCGTTGTTCAACTGCTCAAATGTTTGTTTAAAATTTTTCAATTTTCAATTTTGTTTCTCCGAATTTCTTTAGCATTTTAATGAGTTTTTTTTATTTTGCAAAAATCCAGTTTTAGAAAAAAGTTTTGGGAAATGTGGAAATTTTTTATTAATAAATAAATAGACGAATGTGCGAGTACTCGTTGGTCGAATGCTCGAGCTGTTCAAAGATGTTCGAACCCAATTTTCCGCTCTAATTCATAAATAAATAATGAGGAAAACAAGCTCAAATTATGAGGTTTTTGAATTTTTTCTTAGATTGTAATTTTCGATGATTTTTCGTAAAATTTTTCAATGAAATAATTTGTGAGAACCCATTTTGTCTCTCCGAAGAGAAGGTTAATATCTTACTGAGAGCACTTCAATAATTTATTTTAAGGATCCAGCACCCACATGTAGCTCAGTTCTTTTACTTTTAGACGCAAGTTTTATAGACAAATTTCAGGTTTTATATCGAATATTTCGAGAAAACAGAATAAAACTCATGCAAACAAGAAATAAAGGGATTACAATCAAATTTTTAGCCAATTCGGTGGGTTAGGTATAAACACAATTTGAGTAGAAAGTAGAAAAGGCTTAGAACACAATAAAATCGATTTACACCTGGAAATGGCCGTATTTCATTTATGGAATTTTTCGTATAAATTTAGCAATGCATTATGTAATGCCAATTGTGTTAACCTTGTTTTCGAATAACCGCATTTTAAATTTTTTCACACTTTGGTGTAGATCGACGAAAAGCCAGCGCATGCATTGGCATCCATTGCCACACACAAACAATTAGCTTGAATATGTCAAAAACGCTTAGAATTTAGGAAGAGAGAATTTAAAAGTGCACTTTTCAAGCTCACCATAGTGCAAACAAGAACATATGGTACAGAGGGCGAGGAGAGAAAGGAACATGCACATACACGTATGTATATAAAATCAAGTAAAAAACTCTCTCACACACACACACACACATACACACGAACCAATTAACTCACCCACCATTTGCATAGAGGAAGCCCTTCGCCAACTTCAGTTCGCTATCGATCTCCTTGAGCAAATCACTTTCGGACCAACTACGTCGATTTGGTTCCAACAGGAAGCGGGTCTTCTTGCAGGGGCGTGCATAGGGCGCTGGTGGGCGACCACTGCTGCTGTTGATGTGACTCGTCGCCTTGTATGAGTGGCTGTGGTTATGACTATGATGGTGGTGTTGTTGCTGCTGCTGCTGTGACTGGTGACTATGCTGATGAGGTTGGCGCTGATCGGCATTTATTATGATTATTGGTGTTGGGCGCTGCTTACTCGTATTACTAACACTACCACCAACGATATCTGACGCACCATCACCAACACCGCCAACACCACTAGCAGCAGCAGCTTCACTACTTCTGTGCTGCAGTTTGGCGTACTTTTCGGAACTACTTCGCGTACTACTTGACGTGGCAGTGGAAATGTGGCTGCGTCGCGTCACTGCTAAATAAGTTGTTTTAAATGCGAGTAATAAACAAATTGGAAGAGAAATAAATGAAAAGAGAGAGAAAAAAAGTAAATAGTCCATAAGAAACTTGACCGCCAAACAAATAGTACTGTTAACCAATACATATATGTATATACGACAATTTTGTTCGCTTGTACATATGTATGTGTATGAGGGCGTGGCAGGATTTGTTCAATTTTGTGCCAATATAGGGTGTTGAAATTAGAAATTTTGATTTTCTCTAGATTTCTTGAAAGTGTGAGGCACGCAGCAGCTGTTAGGCAAATTGGGAGGGAGCGGTGATGCATGCAATATTTTTGGGTCTTGAATTTTGGAGTGTAAAAATTATGATTTTAGTTTTATATTTTTCCTTAATTTATTTTATTTTTGGATACTTTATTACATTTAATTTTTTTAACAATTTTAATTTGTTTTATTTTTTTTTTTGTTATTTTGTTTTATATCATTTGATTTTATTTTGCTTTATTTTATTTTTTTGCTTATTTCATATTTTTTTATTTTGTTTATTTTATTTTATTGCACAATACTTAACTTTATTTATTCAATATATTTGACTTTATTTTATTTCTTTTTATTTTTTGTTTTAAATTATTTTATTTTTTCGTTCTATTTTATTTTATTTTATTTTATTTTATTTTCTGTTATTTCTTTTTATATAATTTTATTTTGTTTATTTTATTTTAATTATACTTAACTTAATTTATTTGACATTATTTTATTCCTTTTTATTTAAAAAAAGATTTATTTTTTTATATTTTACTGTTATTTTATTTTATTATATTTTGTGCTATTTTATTTAATTTAATTTTATACATTTTAATTAGTTTTATTTTATTATATTTCATTTCATTTCATTTTATTTTATTTTTATTTTTATTTTTATTTTTATTTTTATTTTTATTTTTATTTTACTCTCCTTATTATTTTTCTTATTTATTTTATTTTATTTAAATTTATTTTATATTATTTAATTAAATTTAATTTTTTTATTTTGGTTTTAATATGTTTTAATTTTATTTTTAATTTAATTTATTTTACTTTGTTGCACACTTTTTATTTCATTTTGCTTTATTTTAATTTATTTTATTTCTTTCTTTGAAAAAAATATTTTTATTATATTTTGTATTATTTTATTTGAGTTTATTTCGTTTTATTTAGTTAAGTTTTTTTTTTTTTATTTTCTTAAATTTAATTCTGTTCTGTGTTATATTTTAATTGCGGTTTTTTTCTCCATTCTGCACCGCTGAGAATACATATATATATATTCTCTTAAATACTTAATCATTTATTGCCCAGAGCGCCGCCGGTTATAATTATTGAATTTTTGGTTCAACGATCTGAGCGCCCATCAAAGCAATTAGCGTGTCAGAAGTGCTACAAAAGCCGCTGATCTGTTGGTCGACCTAATTGAAACTTCCTTCTCATGCAACGCATTTTTATTTTATCTTTCGTATTTCATTTAACTTTTTCTTCTTTTTTTATTTTACTCTTTCACATTTATTCAGTTGATCTGCAATTTCATTCCCGCTCACGTTTGCTACGTTGCCATTCACATGCTTACTGTATCGAGTCACGCTTTAACGGTAATTGAAAGCCACTTCGACGCGAGTCTCCCGACTTGCCATGATTTAACCTTTAGTTGTTGTGTTTTTAAATATTTCTCAAGTCAGTTTTTTCTCTCGTCCAGTTGTATGCTTTTTTCTTCTTCTGAATTCGAGTAGCGGATCTGCTAATTGTTGCTTCACTTCTCGACTATTTCCGCTTCTTGTTTTGTTTTTCTTCAAGATTTTGCTTGGGTATGGATATCGCTGTGTGTGCAAATTCTAATAGGGTGTGTCTCATATTTTATTTGATGTTCCGTAAAAATTTCAAATTCTTCCCTAATTATATAATCCGAAATCTGAGGTATCTGATTTCATAACTCTTTAACTGGTGCAATATCTATAAATCATTTGGTCATTTATACTAGACTGGGGTACATACAACATAGCTACCCCTATGTAATGAGGTATTGAACCAATTTAGGTCCTGCTACCATATCCTAATTAAAGGTCATAAACTATTACTCTGAAAGTTGTTTTAAAAATATTTTCCTGTAGGTACAACAGGGCGCACTCTGATCTTATGTAGTGTCGTAGTACATGATCCGCTTTTGTACAGCGCAATGCTTCTTAGATAATTGGGATTTCGATTGGGTTTCGGAGTAATCTCCTATCTATGAGGTTTATATTTCATGCATACATGGGGTATTCTTGGCGTCAAAAAGCTACAACCACAACAGACAACGCTCATCAGCAGCTCTGTATAATTGAACAATAGAACGCCATTTCAAGTTCTGTACGTTCAGTGGCAAATTAAACTACTGGTTTTTGGTAATGTTAAAAGAAGAGCTGTTACGATAGGATAGTTGAGACAAAGCGGGCGGCCTACCTCGCTATGTTGCGATCATTCACTACATGTCCAAGAATTGCTGAGGGAACCGAGACAAAAAGCAAAAGAGGTCAGTTAACGCCAAAGGTAGTACTCAAAAATTCTATGAACAGCTGCGGGGACTTGTAGAAACTTTCAAGATCGGAGCAATCTCTTTTAGAACTCAAAGAGGTGATCTTGTGACTGATGCCCAGATATTCACCATACGCTATATTTTGAAAATGCACTTTTCGTCGATTTTAAAGCAGTCTTCGTCGGCAGCGCGAGAGAAGAAGAGGGAGTTAACTTACTAAAGTAGTATTAAGTAGTATTTGATGCTGAGCACATTTTAAAATGTAATATTTTACCAATTAGATTTTTGCTTAAAAATAGTTTTCATATTAATATAATTTACCGCCCAAATGTAGGCTATATTTTTGAAGATTTTTTTTCTTACACGCATGCAATTGCACGTAAAAGTCAATTGAAAATGTATTGTACAAAAATATATATAATAAATAATAATAAATTTAAAACAAATTTTGAAAATATTTTTGTTTTTGCATCTTGTGTACAGTCACGTCGCTTTCGGGGTGTTGAAAAAAATTAAATTTTCAGCTGCATTACAGGTAAGGGTTATTATTAATAATTATATTTAAGTATTCTTGCCAAAAAAATGAAATAAATTTTTTATTTCTTAATGTCTACCAAAGCTGGCAGAAAGAGTAATAAAAGAGAATCACGACATTTTCGCGCTAAATAAACATGCAGAAGCGTAGCAACGGATAAAGAGTGTAAATAAAAGGAAAAATTAATACAATATACAGTATATAATTAACAAATACATACATACGTAAAAATGTGGTAAACAAATCAACCAAAAGACAAAAAATCAAAAACAACAACATCGCTTTTTCTGGTTGGTTAAAACAATAAATATATATTTTTTATTCAACAACGAACTGCAATAAAATACATTACATACATACATCAGACTAAATTAAGAGCATACAATGATATGTTTTGTATTAATTTTACTAATTTTACAAGCAGTTTGGTGCCATAATTTTCAGTATCGTTTATTATTATTATTTTTTTTTTGTTTGTTTATAAATAATATTCATAACTTTCACTTTTATTAGTAGAAACATTTTTTTTTTACAAATACATATTTATATTTTAAATTATAGAACATTATTTTGTTAATATCGTTTTCGAGTATATCGTATTAATTCAAAAAATAATAAATCAATTAATTCAAAAATATTTTTTCTTTTTTTTTTTGGTTTAGTAATCTTTCATTTAAATTATTAATTTCAAATAATTTTGTATTTATAGTAGTAATTGTTGTTGTAGCATGTACATATTTAGGAAGGAGTAGTAGTATGTAGTAGTAGTAGTAGTAGTAGTAAATAGTAGTGGTAGTAAGTGTACTAAGTAGTTGTCAAGCTACGCGATACAGGTTTTCATTCACCGTTGGATGGGTGGTTCGCATTGTCAATCAAAATACAAAGCCAACAATGGGGGCATTTCACAAGTTGAAAGTTGCATTTTTACTACACTTTACTACACGCACACACACACTCTCACATGGGCTGCCAACTGTTGCAGACCTATGTGGTATGATCAAAACTACGCCAAAATCTCTCGAATTCATCATAAATTCGATTCCTGAACGGTGACGTCGCGAACATCTCGTCAAAGGAGGGCGATACTGGTAGCTTGCTAAAGAATGGTGATTGGGGTGTTGGTGGTGGTGTTCGTGGTGTTCGTGGTGGTTGTGATGATGATGTCGTTGCAGCTGTTGTTGTTGCTGTAAAGGGCGCTGTTTCATCAGCGTATACTAAACAAGAAGCAAGCAAGAATGTAGAGATACACAAAAAAAAATATTAACAACTTTAGATATATTACAAAAGTTTGATACGTGAATTGACGAGAAACATGAAAGACACACTAGTATGTATACCCAGATTTTTTTTGTTTTCTTTTTTTGTTTTTTTTTTTGCCTTTGGTGCGTATGAATTTGAAATTATTGAGTTGATTTACAAAGTACCATGAATTACTTTACCCAAATGAATTGATGTCTTTTTTGTTTTGTTCTTGTAGTTACAGTGGTGGGCTAGTAGGTGGGTGTGGGAAAATTGGGTGGAGGGGTTGATATTTCTATATGTAGATATATATGTATGTAGTTATATACATAAAGCATATTATAGACCAATGCGATGATGAGTATTTTTGTTTTTTTTTTTGAGAGGAGAAATGTTATCGATGAGCAATTTAAGTACTTTTTTATAATTTTTCTAATGTTCTATTATATTATTTATATTCGAATGAATTGTTTAGCCTCTTTTATTATTTATCTTTGGTATGTTTTGATGATTACACTGAGAAAAATGAAGATTACGGCAACTGCGGTTCGTAAAGTCGGCGAGGTGCGCGTCATTTGAAGTGTTTTTATTTCCATTCTTTATGTAAATAATTAAAAAGAAACCTTAGAAGTAGATCTTAGTCGCAAGCGAGCACTGTACAATGTGGTAGTGCATGAGATTTCTTGTTGCCATTTTTATTGTTTAATGGTTATTTTGTGGTTCTAATTTAATATTTTATGTTATATGTTTTTTTTAGAAAAAATTAATTAATTGGTTTGTTTTTATTGTCCTTTAAAAAATATTGTATTTGGGATTTCTTATTTATTTTTTTATATTTCTTATTATTGTATTTATTTTAATTTTATTTTATATTTATTTTTTTCTGTATTTAAAATTTTACCTCTCTTTTTCACTTCTACTTTTAATTCTTTTATTTTAAATTTTTTTCTATTAATATTCCTACATTATTTATGCAGTTTTCAATATTTCAAAATATATATACCAATTTAAACATTTTTAATAATGTTTTAAAAACTTCTTTTTAACGTTTTTCTTTGAAAAACAATAATTTAATTTTTTCTTTTGTTATTTTACGAAATCTTATAGATTATTTAATATTTTGCCAATTTTATGTATGGTGTTGAAAAAGCAACAAAAATGGCCACCGCATACAAATAAATTTGCATTTTTCATCTTTAAAACAATCATGGTTTTTTGGGAAATTTTTTTTTTTTAAATTTAAAAAAAAAATCCCATTTTTTACTAGCCAAAAAAATAAATATAAATAAATAATTTCACTGAAATTAATTTTGATTTTTAGCGTTTAATTGGTGATTTTTTCACATTTTTTATTGATTAAAAAATTTATTTATTTTTTCACAAAATTTTTAATTTAATTTTTTTTATACTTATAAATGTAGTAATTGCTATTTATTATTACCGATATTATTATTTAAGAGGATAGTAAATCAAATATGTATGGAGAAATATTTGGCTCAGTTGAAAATATTTTTTTTCTTTTTGAATTTTTATTATTACTATTTATGAATTTTTAAATTTTTATGGAAGAAAATTCTTATTCTGTTATTTATTTTATAAAAAATCTCTCTGATCATTTTAATTCTAAATTTAATAATATAAAATTATATTTTTTTCGAAAATAATTTCTATTATTGTTTATTTAAATTGTCTTAAGTATTTGTTGTTATTTTAGTTTCATTTATTTTGAATATTTTTTTTGTGGAATTTATGTTTAAATAAATCTCTAAATTCTTTATTAAATTTTTTTATGGATAAATAATTTTTCAATTCTTAGATTGTCTTGGAAGATTATTTTTTTTTAACTATTTGAACTAATTTTATTGTTTTAAGATATTACTTGTTGATCATTTATATTTTTGGAAAATATTTTTTAATAAATATATATAACTTTATTTCACTTTGATTACGATTTTTTATTTATTAATTTTTATTTGTTTTTCTAATTTCTTTTCTACATAATTTTTTAAAATATTATTTTATAATTAAATTATTTTTATTTTAAAGTTTTTGGTATGACGAATCTTTTCTAATTTATAAATATTTTAATTAACTTCAATTAAGATATAAATTATTTTTTTTTTTAATTATTTTTCAAAGTTTTTATATCATTTTATTTTGTATTATTTATCAACAAATATTTTTATAATTTTTTGTGAAATTTTTTTAGTTTATCACTTTTTAATTATCACTTTTATTTATTTTATTTTCACAATTGTTTAACATTTTGGTCATTTTTATTTAATATTTTATTAAGTTATTACATTATTTTGTTTTTTACTATTCTTTTATAGTTATAAACAAGCATTTTTGTAATTATTTGTTAAATTTGCTTTTTTAATATTTAACTATTTATTTTTTTTTAACTGTTATTATTTTTTTATAATTATCAACAACATTTTGTTTATATACAAATATTTTTTAACTATTTTTTTTTAAAAACAACATTTTTATCATTTTATTTTTTGTTTTCTTAAGTTTTTATTATATCTGCAAAAAAAAAATTTTTGTTGATTTTTATTTTTTATATTTTAATTTTTTGTGTTTAAAATCTTTTTATATTTATCAACAAAATTTTGAAATTTTTTTTGCTAATTTTTTTAAATATTTTTAAATTTTGTACATACTCGTAAATACATATATTTTTAACTGTATTTTAAAAAATTAATAAACATTTTTTTTATATATTTTATATTTTTTCATGTTAAAAAATATCATTATTATTTTTTTCTATTAAATTATATTATATATTTCATTATAATATTTTTGTTTATTTTAAATTGTTTTATTTTTTCAAGAAATGAGTTACAATTTTTTTACGTTACGTTTTCATATATTTTATTTTATTTTTCACAACATTTTATAATAATCAATTAATTTTTGTAGAACTATTTTTTTTCTTATTTTTTTTTTAACATATTGAAACAATTTTATATGTATTTCTTATACTTCTTTTTATAGTTACAAACAAATATTTGTTTATTTTTTTAATATTTTTTATATGTGTTATTTTGATTGTTTTAAGCTGTTTTATATTTAAAAAAAATTAATAATAATTCTTTTTAGTTTTGTTTTTTTATTTTCCGAAGTTTTTATTTCATTAAATTTTTTATTTTTTTATTTTATAATTTTTCGAAATTTTTTTGTTATTAATTTACCGAAAATTAATTATCAACTTTTTGGAATTTTTATTTTTTTTTAACTTTAGCTGTGGCAACGTCAAAATGTATGCCACTTCATTGAAAATTTTCCGCGGTAGGTATTAGGCGAATATATTTCTGAAATATTACATTCAGCAACCATTTAAGCATCATAGAACAATGAAACATTTTTGAATAATTTTTTCCTTTTTTTCAAAAACCTCTTTCATCTTTAAGACGCCATAAAAACAATTTATGACGAGCAGCAAATCTCATGCGCCTTGTTGTCAAGGTCATTGCTATTGTACTGTGCTATAAATATTTCCACTTCATTCGGCTACACAACAAAGTTTCCAATATTGTTTTACGAAAATTTCGAAAATACAAAATTAAGAAAAAAAAGAATCAAAAGAAAGGAGAAAAAACCGCGCGCCTCCTTATCTACAGAAACTCAATGAAAAGCGCTCCAAATGGACAAGCCGACTACGATCGCAGTGCCCAAGAAGCTACCAGCACCAATCAAAGCAGGTAAGGTTGGCTCATCTGAATTACCCGTGGCAACAACATTGTCGCTTGTAGGACTAGCGGTACTTGTAGCAGTAGTGGTAGCAGTAGCGGTTGGTGTAGATGTAGTGGATGTTGTAGCAGGTGTAGTATCGATAAAATCGGTTGCGTTCGAGGAATACGAGTTGGAGTTGGATTTGTTGCAGGAATTGTTGTAGGAGGTAGTAGCAGTAGCAGTAGGAGTACGAGTAGTAAGAGTAGTAGTAGTAGTAGCGGTAGTAGGAGTAGTACTAGAAGCTGAAGCAAATGTTTTACGAATAATTTGTATGGTAGGTGTGTTTACATTTTGCATGCACTCACCCTGTTCCCCGCCGCTTGTGGTACGGCTATGCCCTTGCTGTTGTTGTTGTTGTTGTTGTGAATGTACTTGACGCTGTTGCTCCATCGCTGGTGGTACTCGTGATCCACGGGCGGCTGTTGACGAGCCCATTACGATTTCCGGTTGTCTTGCAATTTTCACAGTTTTCACCACAGACGATTTCTTCACTGCACTACTCATTGAATTGGCATTCGCCTCTTGCCTACGCTCCTCCTCCTGATGCACCACCCGATGACCACCGTCGATCTTCTCTTCATTGTGATTAGAGAAACGCGCAAATTCACGTAAATGACGCGGCAATTGACGCAAATCTGCTTCGGACTTGCCCTCAATCACTTTCATCGGCGGCACCTCTACATCACTCTCACTAGCATGTCCTGCGGCGGCTGGTTGCGACTCGGCGCCACTCTCCCAATCACTATCAGCCGGCATGGAGAGTTTATTGCGACGCTCGTGTACGCGCTTGAGAAACTCATCGCTGATATCAGTTTTGGAATGCGGCGGCACTGGCGGTTGTTGTCCTTGCTGCGTCTCATTTACTTTGGAGATTTTTATGATCTTCTGCAAACGCCGTTCTTCGCGTTCGGCCACCTTGCTGAGCCACTCTTCAGCCATTTGCTGACGGAATACCTCGTCTTCGGTGAGTGTAGGCAGTTTGGGCACCGGTCGGTAAACCTCGCGCATTGGATGTTGGGGCATTTGCAGTGTTGGTGTCGTTGGCGTACTTAGCTCCTCCATCAGACGCCGACGCTCGTTTTGCAAGCGCTCAAACTCCATGCGCAGCTCTTCTTCTTTGCTGCTAATGTACTTGAGTTGTTGCTCTTGTATTTCGCGTGGCAGCGATGCGCGTCTTTGACGCTCAGGCGCTTGTGGCGTGTAGTGTGGTTCATGTGCAGCTGCATTAGGTTGTGCTGCAGGCGACACAGGCGCTGGCGAGACACCACGGCGTGTAGTGGTGCTTATGTAAGTTGGGTTTGGATCGCGCTCCAGCACCGAATAGCAGCTGGCGTGATGTGGACGTTGTTGTTGCGCTACGGGCTGTAACATAGGTGCATGCGAGCGACGCACATTGTAAGCGTTATAACTGTCATAACACTGTGAGTTGGTGGAGAGATCGTTGGTAGAGGCGGAGAGACGTGGCGCGCGTATAGTGCGTGGACGCTGACGCTGATAGCAAATCTCTACTTCACGTGCAAAAGGACGTGTGATATTCTCCGAAGAGCCAAAGTCGCTGGCATAACGCGCCCAGTCATCTGCCGCAGCAGATTGTGGCCGTTCATAAGTGGCATACGTAGCAGGTTGGGCACGTGGCTGTGGACGATGCGCATTTTCGGAGAGATTGAACATCGACTCTGCGCGTCTGAAACGCGATGCATCATCTACCGTATCATAATCAGCTTGCGGCGGTGGTGGCACTTTTGGTGCGCTACCATTCTCCAAAACAATTGGTATATTGTAGGCACGTGGTTGCGTCAGCTCTCTGGGCGCTGAACTTCTATCCACTTTAGGCGCATAACCATTTGCTTGCGTCACGCCACTATGCTCACCATTGCGCCGCTCAATTTGTATGGGTATGTCGTAGGTGCGTCCCGTTGCACTTGTATGCGCAACGCTGGGCGTGCTACCACTAGCCCAACCCTTCAACTGACGTGAACGCACCGAACGTTCAATTTCGCGTTCCAACTCTTGCATATGTACATGCCGTTGCTTCTTCAGCTCATCGAAATGGTCCTTGAAATTCCACTGCGTACGGTTCAAGTCATAGAGGGAAGCCGATTTTTCACGTTGCTGCCGTTGCGCCTTGCCCTCCTCAAGCTCCATATTCAATTGTTGCGACAACGCATCAAAGTCCTTGAACAGTTTGTCGTGTTGGAAATTGAAAGCGGAATGCGCGCTATTGCTTTCGCCAAGTGGCGGTGCGGTGGCTGGCGGCTCGCTCGCCGCTGCCTTGGCACGTTGCCGAAATTCTTCATACATATTGCCGCTGACGCCGCCACCACTTGAGATTTCCGACCGCAATGTACTACCACTCTCATGGCTATTTTTAATATGTTCTTCTCTTCGGATTGTTGTTGTGTCCATTGCGCGCTGTTCGCTGGGGTGCTGGTGTGCTGTAGTGGTCGAAGTAGTGGTTGCCGATGCCGAGGCCGACGGTGTGGTGGCGCCAAACGGGTATGCGAAATTTGTCATGTTTACGACATTCGCCTTCGCGTTAGTTTCTTCGTTCTTCGCGTTAGTTTCTTGTACGTTTGCTGTTTTTGCATTTTCTGTTGTGTTTAATTTTATTGCTGACATAATTTCACTATTTCCGCTTCTACTCGACACGCCATCGCCCGCCAGCGGATACAGCAGCGACTCTTTGGACGCCTCCCGCACGGGGAAGTGCATCAGCGACGGTGTGGATGCACTTTCCAAGGACTTATCGCCATCCGACTGACGCTCATGTCGCGAGTTCGCGTAGTCATAGATGACCTGTCCGTTCTCCATGCGCTTCTGCGCCTCATAGGAGTGCGTCTCGATGTTGGAATACCGTTTGGGCAGTGTGGACTGCAGTTGGGCATAAGGAGTGCCAGCACCGTCAGCTGCTTTGGAACTGGTCGAAGATTCGATATTAGAGAAGCGTTTACGTTCACTATTAAAGATATCGCTTGCGCCCATCGATGGAAACATTTTGGCTAATTCACTCTCGACTCCCTGCATATTGTTACCGACTGTGGCGGTTGGAAAACTGTTATACGCAGCGGACGTTCTATTTTGACTAGTGGTTGGTTCGGACGCGTTTGCGTTTGAATACTGGCGTGTATCGGCATTGGCCGTTGGTTGGTTGGTTGGTTTTCCTGCGAACGCTTGCCGAGTAGTAGCAGCAGCGGTGGTGGTGGCGGCGGAGACACTCGTTTGCCTTGAGTTATTTTCAAGTGATGATGTCTGCTGGTGCGCTAGCATTGCCGATGATGATGATGATGGTGTTGGGCCAGCAGCCGAATCGGCAACAGCTGACGCGTCTTGTATGAGCGTTAGCAAACGCTTTTGCTCGGACTGGTTCGCCACTTGGCTTTGTTGTTGTACTCCATTTGCATATTGCTCATTAGCTTTTCTATCTTGTATGGCGTCATAAGCGCGTTGTTGGTGTTGTTGGCTCTGACCACTACTCACATACGGCGAAGCCAAAGACAAAGGCGAAAACATGTTCGCTGTTGTGGTCGTTGTTCTTGCCTGCTGACTCTGTGCCTTCGCCGCCGTTTCGGCATTCTTCGCTGGCACTGGTGGTGGCGGTACAGGCGGCGGTGGTGGTGTCAGGCTTTTACGTAATTTCTTCATGTACGCCGCCGTCTTTAATATCTGTTGTTCCTCCTGCTGCACGGCAGCATTCAGAGATTTCACCTGTTCGTCGCTGTACTCATGATAGCCGCGCCGTTCCAGAAACTTCTGATGTGCGTCCAATAGCTGATCGGGTCGCCGATCACCGCCAGCGCCAACGCCAACAACGCCTCCCGCCTGTTGCACTGTTGCATGGACCTGCGTGTGCGAGGATCGTTGAGTATTGCTAGCTGCAAGCTGCTGCTGTTGCGCTGGCGAAAGGCAAACCAACACATTGGGATCGGCAGCGGTTGGCATACCCAGCCATGGCGCATCATCGTATTGTGTGGGCGGCGCTGGCACCGGTGGTGGGGGTGGCGAATGCAATAGCTGCGCCGTGACGTTAGTGCTGATTAGATCACGCGTTGCGCCTGCTGGATCGTTGTCGACCAGTTTAATTGGCACAATGTGGGTGTTGCTTGCGGAGGCGGTGGTGGCGACAGTTGGTGCACTGTGTACTGGTATCTGATGCGTTCGATCACCGTCGGCGATCGACAATTGCAGCTCGCTTATATGCGGCAACTGGGGCAACGGGTAAGGCATACTGTGACCGTTGTCTTGCGTGCCTATAGCTGGTGCCGGCCGCTCAACCGTCTTCGCTTGCAATTCACCGATATTCTGTGCTACTGTGGCCAACTCTACCAGCACTTGCTCGCCATACGGCATGGAGGCCAGTGTTTCGGTACAGAGCAGGCGTAATTTTTTAATAGAAGCATCTTTTTGCTGTGCATCAGCCAATTCTTGAGCGGACAATTGAGAGTTCTTTTGTTGCTGGGTGGGGCCTTCTTCGTAATTCCATTCAAGTTGCTCGTTTATTTTTTGTTGTTGTTGGTGTTGTTGATGATGATGATGATGTGGCGTATCTGAAATAGTTGAGTTTGCGGTCAATGGTGGTGTCAATTCATGGTCGGTGGGTGGACGCGAGCCAACATTAATGGCGGTGCACTGACTGTGTTGGGTACTATCGGAGCAATGGGACTCGGCGGACTCTTGGCGCGCCAGCAAGGACAGTGTGGTCAAAGCGCTATGCGAGGTGTTGGGATCTTGTTGTTTCTGTTGTTGTGGACTCTTTAGCTCTGTGTTATACGCAGCGGAGGAGGTGGCTGAGGGAGAGGTGCTGAGTGTGTTGGGCTCTTGTGTGGCACGCGTGGGTGGTACTGGTGGTGGTGGTGAGCTTTGAGTTATGGGTTGTGTTTGAAAACCTGTAAAATCACTATGAAAATCACTAGCACTAGCACTTGTGGGTGGCGGTGGTATGGGTGGAGGAGAGGGCGATGAGCCTTTGCAAGCACTATTTCCATTATCCATTAAATTCAATTCACTCGAACGCATTTCATTGTCATAATTCACGTTCCCGTTCTCATTCCCGCTACCGTTCCCGCTTCCATTCCCGCACGTCGCCGTCGTCGTCGTGGTCTCGATCGTATGCGAGTTCAATATATCGCGCACGCTATTCATTTCTAATTCAATATTTTCAAGCAGCACTGCTGGGTCAACGTTTAAACTATCACTAGTCGCAAGTGTGTCTGGCGGATACTTGGACTCGTTGCTGCTGCTTGTCAGACTGCTGCTGCTGTCGCCGCCGATGCAGTCACTGCCAGAGCCCGAACTGCGCATATATTCACACCTCTCCGTTGTTGTTGTCGTTGTTGTACTTGTCTCTGAACTCATCTCCGTCTCCGTCTCGGACTCACTGGTAGTGGCTGCGGCTGGTGCTGCTGTGCGCTTACTTATTCTTTGCACTGTTGTTGTTTGTTTTGTTGTATTGGAGAGTGCGCGCTCACCACTACCACCAACACCGATGCCAGCGCCAAAAGCAGCGCCGCTTGGCTCTGCCAACATTTGCAAGCTTTTCAAATTCTCAAATATTCTATATTCAATGGGATTTGTGATCTTGTCTGTGTCAATATTTGTGCCATTAGCTGCTGCTGCTGTTGTGGTTGTTGTTATAGTATTCGCCGTTATTTGCTCTACACCAATACAATGGTCACGTTCACTTATGAAACCATTGTTATTTGCATGATTTTTTTGCGTCTCATTATTTTCTGACAGCCTTGTTGATGCCTGATTAACAGGTGTACTCTCGCGACTATCACTTGTGTCCGCCGTCGCTGCACAACCCTCCCTCGTCTCGCTGGATGGTTTTGTTATGATTTCGCGCGCATCGGTGTCGAGATCGATCGTTGAGCGTCCACTATCGCCGCACTCGTCATCACCCTCGGCCTCCGCATCGAGCTCCATCAGATCGGACAGGCTGCTCGATGCCGAACTACTCAAATATATCACTTCGGCTGCTTCCGATTCGGGCGTGTGCGCGCTGGACAAACGCGTGCAACATTCCTGTGCCGGCGTTGATGGGGAGGCATCGATCAATTTGGCGGCGACCACCATGGCAATGGGCTCTTCACGTATGGGTAATGGTTTTTTTGGCAATGCGCCAAGCTGTTTTTTTGCATGACGTCGTGTGAAGTCCAAATTGCTGCGTGGAAATACTTCATTCGCTTTGCGTACTTTTGAAGCGGACGCCTCGTGTAGATCGTCGCCTGAATGTGTGGTCATTAGTGGATTTTCAGAGCAATCGCTGCGCGCATCACTCATGTCACTATTCTCCTCTAAAATGCTATCCAGATAGCGTGGGCTCAGCAACTGTGGCAGGAAGTGCGACTCGAGTGCGACACGTTTTTGTGCGCGTCTCTGTTTGTGATCTTGTTGCTCCTGGCTGGTGGGTTTGCTTACCAACTCGTAACTGTCATCGCTTTCCGGTGAAAGCGTGCGTATAGTTAGCCCATAGTCTAGGGAGCACGCGCCTGCACTGGACTCCGTCTCTGACTCGGCTTCGCTAATCACAGGTGGATTGTCATTGTACTCGCTGGAGCTCTCATCGCTAAGCTCTTGTATTTGCACGATACTTTTGTTGAGCAAATGATTTGGTTTGGCTCTGCCTAGTTGTGCGGTAGGACTGAGCGCATCCGGCGAGTCAACGCGATAATGTGTAGGTGATGTGGATTCGAGTTGTATGTGATGGACAATGACTTTGGAGTTATCGTTTATGTTGGGTTCGAACATACCTTTGGCCGCTGCACAGTCGGTGCGATCTTGTATGTCAACGTGTTGTGCGTTTTCCCTATCACTTCGATCTTGCGCGATCTTATGCACGATCACTTTGGCTGCGCCCAGCGCTTGGTCCGACTGTATTGTGCTGGGCTCTCTCAACACCGTGTCTACCTCTCCTCCTTCGTTTACTTGTTGTATTTTGTGCAATATCACTTTTGGCTCCACTTGTATTTGTGCGTTGCTGTGAACGCCGCTTGGCACCTCTTCATGCCTCACTGATCGTCCAATTAGTTCATCATATGCGGACGTTTCTCTTTCTATCCCACTTAACATTTCCACTTCCTTTTGCGGCTCAGCTGTCTTACTCTCCCCGTCACTCTGTGTCGCCTCGCCAACACTGACTACTTGCGCGACCTTGTCTATGTCACCATTACGTTGCGCTGCATCCTCCTCACTCGGCGCTCGTACTATTCTGTGCACAATTACCTTTGCCATTTGCGTTTTCGGCATACCGGTATGCGTTGCATTCAACTCACCGGTCACATTTACATTGCGAACCGGTCCACTTGAAGTCGTCACCGCTTCTGCCAGTGAGCCTGTCACTGCTGGTAGCGGCAACGTTGCACCGTCGCCTTCACTTGTGCTAAATGTTTTTGATTCTTTATTGCCCATCGTGCACGCTACCGTCGTCTCTTCCGCGCCACACTTTCTAATTGTAGGAACACCCTCACTATTGCCGGTCTCTTGTCTGTCTTGTTCTACTTCCGTCTGTTGTCTAACTAATTTCGAATGCTGTGCGTCTGCATCTTCCACACGATTGCACTCTTCGCGTTCAACTGCACTTATGAACGTTGGGTGACTGTTTGTGTTGGATTCGTTCGAATTTAAATTATGACACTCTTCAAGCGCAATGCTGGGAGCGGTGCTGGTGGTGATGGCGCTGTTGTTTGAGTCCACTTCTCGCGCATTTTGTGTGTACGCCGGTTCCTCCGGTAGCTGCGGCTTGAGTGGTGAAGTGGCTCGCGCTTGACTGCGCGGCGGTAGGTTTGGGTTGTCAGTTGTTATGGGAGATTTTGGTGTTTTCGTTGGTTGTTGTTGGTGCTCTTGATTAGATTGCTCACGTCTGTGGTGACCCTGACTTTGATTGTCTTTATTGCCGGTTATCGGCCGGTTTTGATTGTTTTGTTGATTTTCTGGTTGAGTCTGGTTTTGGTTTTGGTTTTGGTTTTGGTTTTTGTTTGATTGTTGTTGCTGTTGTTGTTGTTGCTGATTCTTCTGACGATTCTTGCTCTTATTTTTCTTATTCTTTTGGCGATAATTTGGCATGTTCTTTGAAATTCAATTATTTTTTTCTTTTTTTATTGCACTTGTCTCTTACTCAACACGCTCAACACGCGCGTTCAACAATCGCTATGGCCTGTCGCAGTGCTGTGGGCTTGTGGCGCGCGCGTTCAAAGTCTATGACGTTCCGAAGTTCCACCACTACTATGTTAATTAGGTTAACCGCACACGTTCTAATAGAGTTTTTTTCTTTTTTGCTTCAAATTATTATATAGCGGTGATTTTCAGCGAGCGCTTTTCTTTGGCGGTGGTGACTAAGGTCGGTTCCAACGAAAACACAACACATAAATAATTAAAAATTTGAAATCAATTTAAATGAAAGTTCGTTTGCGCATGAAATAGTTTGCTCAATCAATTGAAATTCGGTTTGCGTATTTCAAAATTTCCGCTAATTCGATTTTGGTGTCTTTTTCTACTGCTTTTGAAGCTGTATATATATTCTTCATGTACTTGTTTTTGCTTTGCTTCTTCTTATTCGTTGTCGTTTATCGAAAATCGTCGACTCATTCTGTTCGACTGTAGGTCTGTGAAAATACTGAGTCTCTGGCCACTAGAACTGTTCAACAAAGCACCGTTCGAGTGACGGCGTTGAGCTGAGCGCAACGGATATGCGCTGCTCTGGTACTCAGACGCGTCGGAGGGCCCCTGTGGAACAACATTGGGCACGCGCAGTACTTCCCTAAATGTCAAACGTCAGAAACATACAGGCTAGCGCGCTGCCTTTTCTGTTTTTGGCTAAATAGGAATTTTGGTTATGGGTTGAGCAATTATTTTTGAAATTTCTTTCTTTATTTTCAATTTTTGGTATTTGACACACTAACGCGCGCACATACTACACTAGTGCGCAACCGATTTCGTAATGTTCAAAGCAAAAAACAACATCAAAAAAAAAAAAAGCGCAGCGGCATCGCGCTATTTTCGAAGTGAACACTTTTCATGCGCGTCTAATGAAATTTATAAAAATTTTCACTCATTTTGTTTTCGAAAATAAGCGCCGTGTAAATCAAAAAACAGAAAATAGGGGTATAGAAAAACAATTTTGAAAATTTTTCGCGCTTCGCTTGCTCTTATGCGCTAACAGCGCGCTGAGTTCGAGATCGTCAGCTCACGCGCTCACACGTCACAGAGAGTTGCTGTTGTATATTGAACTGAAATGAAGTGAAGTGAGTAGTGTGCGCTGCGCTGCGCCGCGCAGACATTATTTTGAACGCGCGCTCTCAACATTAATAACATTAAATATTTTTCTACAAATTTTTTTTCCTTTCATTTTTTTGTTTGCCTTTTCTTTGTAGTCAAATACACTAGAAACAATATATTTTAGTTTAGTTGTTTAGCTATCTATTGTATTTGCTTCAGTTGATTTGGTGGTGAGCGCCTGACAGTGAGCAAATATGCGAAGCCGGCGCGCTGCGCTACGTATGGTGGGCCTGCTACGGAAATAGAAGTGCGAATGAAATTTTGAATGGTTTTTTGAGCGGCAGCATTTCACACAAATATATAAATACACACACACATATATATATATACACACATGTAGAACACATAAAAAGCTTGCGCGCTCCGTTTTGGGTAAAGGTGGAGGGCGGGCAGAGTGGGAGATGGGAAGCAGTGTAACAAAATTTATGGTTCTAGTTTTTTGTGTGTTTGTTCGTATGTGTGTGTGTGTGTAAGCAAGTACATTTTTACAAAAATATACTAAAGCAGCAGTTACGATTTTTGGCAATACAGCCGCATACAGGGTGCGCGCTGATAAAAATTGTTTGGAAAAAGTAAGGAAGGGAAAGTATTTTAGCAGCTGCATTCCTGCTGCGCGTTAATATATAAATACATACAAAAAAGTAAAATATAAAAAAAAAAATCATACAAAAAAGTGAAAGAAATTAAAAAAAAAAATATTTTTTCACATAAAAAATTGCCTAAATTAAGTTCGCTTAATATCTTTCTAAATTTATTTACATACATATATATTTTTAGTAAACTGAAGGCAAAATTAAAAGTGTTAATCTTCAAGTCTTTTTCGCACAGAAATGTATACTCGTACGCGTATAAAAGTATGCGGGTTTGCTCATGTGTGTGTACAACAAAGAAGCACTCACTTGCTGATATCATTTTAAATGATTGTCTAACTAAAAATTAAGCTTAAACAAATAAACATACTAAAAACCGGCTGATTAGTCACCGCAGCTTCTTTTGCCTTTTGTTAGTGTAAACACTTTGTTCTTTGCTATTTTAAATACTCGTATATGTATTTTTATACTTTGCTTCTATAACACTGCTGCTGAGAGATTAACTCTTTTGTGATTGATTACTTTGAGATTTTCTAAAAAGATTAGCCTACAAATTTTTGAAGGATTTTACTTTTTGGAAAAAAACAATTTTAATCACTTATTTTTTCCTTTTTTTATTTTGTTTTTAATTTTATTTGTAATTTGCAATTGGCATTTCTGCTTAGCATTAATTTTATATAACAATTATATATAATATATAATTTTATTTTAATCAAAATAACAAAAAATTTTTTTAATCAAATAAAAGTTTAGACCCACTTGAAGTTGATGTGGTTATAATTTCATTGAATTTAATTTAAATTTATTTTTTATATTATTTTATTTTAGTTTACTGTATTATTATTTTTTAGTTTATATTCTTTTTTCCTTTTTTCATTTTATTTTGTTTCCATATAATTATTTTTAAATATTTACTTACATTTTCATTTTTTTAGTTTTTTTTTAATTTAACTTAATTTCCTTTTAATTTTGTTAGTTTTTTCCATCAAATTTAATTTCATTACTTTTTCAATATTTGCCTTATTTTATATTACTTTCTTCTTTTTAATATTTAATTTTCGTGAAGTGTTATTTAATTTAAATAAAATCAGTTTAATTTTATTATAGTTTATTTTATTTTACTGCTTACTTATTTTTTATGTTTGATTTAATTTAATTTTAAATTTATTTTTTTTTTATTAAATTAACTTTTTGTTATAATTTTTTTTAATATTACTAAATTTTTTAAAATTTTTTACTATAATTAATTTTTTCGTTTATATTACTTTTTGATTTAACTTAGATTTAATTTTATTTTTTTTATTTACTTTAACTTCTTATTATTATTATTTTTAATTATTTTACTCAAGTTTTTAAGTTTTTCATTTATAATTACTTTTTTTGTTTGTTTTATTTTTTATGTTACTATTTAATTCATTAATATAATTTTAAATTTTTTTTTACTTATTTACTTAAACTTTTTGTTATGATTTTTTTTAATATTTTACTATATTTTTTTAATTGTTAATTGTAATTAATTTTTTCGCTTATATTACTTTTTTAATTTAACTTAAATAAAATTTTATTTTTACTTATTTTCTTTAACGTCTTATTATTATAATTTTTTTTATTCCTTTATTAAATTTTTTTAGTTGTTTATTTATAGTTAATGTTTTCTTTTAATTTTTATTCTGTGCTTATTTAATTTTACTTAATTTTGTTTTCGTAAATTCATTCCTATTTTACTTTTTTATTTTATTTTACTCAGTTTTACTTTTATCATTTTTTGTTTGTTTTTTTATTATTTATTTTTAATTAAGTTTACTTAGTTTTTCTATATCTTATTTTAAGATGTTTTAGTTGTATTTTAATTTCTTTAAATTTTCTTAATAAGTTTTATTACATTTTACTCTATTTATTGTTTATTCCCCCCCCCCCCCCTTCATTTAATCTAATTTAATTTAGTTCAATTCTTTATGTACTGTATTTTTTTACTTTTTTTTTTTGTTATTAATAATAAGTTTAATTTCTGTTCATGTTGTTTAATTTTATTTTCCATATTTTATTCTGTTTTTTTTTTTGCCTAATTTATATTATTTAATTTTCTTAACATCATTATATTTTCATTATATATTTTAAATTAAGTTTACTTATTTTTTTATATTATTTCTTTAATTATTAATTATTTTGTTGTTTGTTTATTTTTTCCTTCTTTTTATCTAATTTAATTAATTTAGCCTATTTTATATTTTACTTTTTTTTTGGTATTAAAATAAATTTAATTTCTGTTATTTTGTTTTATTTAATTAACTTAATTAGTTTGGTCTTAGTTTTTTTAAACAGAAAAAGCTCAAAATATATATATAATTAATTTCATTTTTTATTATATTCATATATTTCATATTTAATATTTATGTATTTTATTTTATTCATTTCATATAAAATAAAGTTTTTAAGTATTAAATATAAAATATTATATATTTTTCAATTATTATGGAAAAATAAAATAAGTACTAATTTATTAAGCATAATAAAAAATGATAATAAAACGAAATAAAGTTAAATTAAATTAAACCAAATAAATTTTAGTTTGTGTTTTATTATTATTTATTTTATTTTAATTTAATTTATTATTTTATTTTGTTTCATTTTATTTGTTTTATTTTTTCAGGGTTTCTATGTTTAATTAATTGTTTTATTTTTGTTCTGTTTTTTTATTTAAATTCTATATTTCTGTTTAGTTTGTTTTATTATGTCTAAATTTATTTAAGTTATTTTTCTTTAATTTAGTTTTGTGCATAATATTTGTTTCTTATATTATTTTATAGTAGTTTTATTTGATTTTACTTTTTGCTATTTAGATTAGTTTAGTTTCTTTAAATTTAATTTAATTTAATGTTTTTTTTTATTAATCATTAAATTTAACTTTCTCTTTAACAATTTTTAATTTAAATTTTAGCTTAATTTTTTCCATTTTTTTTCATTTTTTATTTGCACTTTTGCGCTCAATTTAAACCTTTTTTATTTAATATTTTATTACGAAAATTTTTTTTTTGTATTTTTATTTTTTTTTTTGCGTTAGCTCTTTAAACCTTTCTACTATTTTTTTCGAATTGTAATTATCATCAATCTGAGTGCTCTTTTGATTTTTTTTCGCTTTTGCCCCACTTTCTGTTACACTTAATTACTGCGAATGCGCTGGAAATAATTAGTTTTTATTCAAACCATTCACGCATAATTGCAAGCTAGACCCAACAGCGATCGAGTCGGCTTTTTTAGCGGTGTTGCCTGCGTAACTTAGCGCTCGACCTCACACCACCCCCAGTATCCCCAGTATGTAGAGCTGCTAATAGTACTTTGCATGCTGCTGCGATCTACATATTCGTGCATTATGGACATCTAAGCGAGTTTATACGTATGCATGATTGTGTGTGTGTTTGTATGTGTACTATGTAGGAGTATATGCGGCTATGGGACAGTTCAGTGAATGTGACCGCTTTGTTTATTGTGATTTGCGTTTTGTGCGGCTTTGCTCTTGTTGGGCTCTTTGTATTGCATGTTTACTATTGGTGATGATGTCACCTGTATGTATTGTATGTACATATGTATTGTAGCATTACCGGCTAGCGGCTGACAGCTGAACGAACGACAAACGATCGCTGTCGCGATAAACAAGTTGGCACACAAAAGTTTGTGCATATAAATACATACATACTAGTATGTATGCGTGTATATAGTGTATGGTATTGTAGGTAAGTATGTATGTATATATATGTCTGTATGCTAAGAATGACTTGTGAATGTGCTCATTCAATAATTAACAAAAATATAAGCGGTATTAGCATTGCTGTGTGTGAAAATGCATGTTTGTATATATGTATATATGTAGATATGTATATATGTAGATATTCAATTTTTATTATTTTATTTTCTTTTTAATTTGTTTTTATTTTTTTTATGTTTTTTAATATTTTAAATTTTTCTTTATTTTTTTTTTTCATTTCCAACAAAATTGCACATTGTAAATTATTTCGAACAACAATTTGCATATGTCTACTCTTTCTATACCTAGCACTGCTTGCTCTTGCTGTTGTTGTTTTTATTATTCGCTTGTTTTTTGTTGAAAAAACTGCGCACAAACAATTTTTTGCGGTTTTATGACATTAAATGTTTTTACTGTTATTTCTTTTTTATGCATCTTACACACACCAGCGCACATAAATTCAATACACTTGCATTTATATACATATTTTTGTAGATGCAAAGCCCCTATTTAATTATTTTTTGTGTACATATATATTTAACTGTATATAGTTGGATGCCTAGATTCGAAAGAAAAGGGATAATAATAAAAAAAAAATCGCGTCCCTTTCTGTCTTTTATATTAGTACTTTTCACCCTATTGCCGACGCGGCGGTCAAGCAAATACTGTCAGTTGCCCGTCGCCAGATAATTTCAGGCAGCCAGAGCACCGGCAAGTGAGTGTCCACAAATGCGCCCAAAGCTGCAAACGCTTAGAAGAGGAGGCAGCGTAGCAAAACAAATTTATAATCAAAAAAAAAAAAAAAGCGCAAAGCGCATTAACTGTTGCATACAGCACACATACGGCTACATACATATACGTATAGCGACGTTCTTTTTTTTGCGAATCAGCATACAACTACGC